CTCTCTCTCTCTCTCTCTCTCTCTCTCTCTCTCTCTCTCTCTCTCTCTCTCTCCCTTCCTTGCCAGTTCAACCTTTGCATACTCTTCCATTCCCTGTTCACCCTCTGCTTGTTGGTTTCTCTCTCGTCAACAAGCGTCCTATAAAATGCCAGCTGGCACTTTGTTGCGACTGTCTCCTTGTAATCAATAGCCAGATTCGTCATCCTACTGGGATCAGGGTTGGCGATAGGTGGACGACATACAAAATAAAAATGAATCTTCCACTAGAACATGGGAAGATACACCGGCATATTTTTTGTCGTTTGTGCATGTGGTGAGTAGTGGAGTGAAGCCCATGGCCGTCAACCTATCCCAATAAGCTGACGGCCATGGGCCTCGCTCCACTACTCACCAAGCGCGCGCGCACACACACACACACACMCACACACACACACACAGAGTGTGGGAGAACCGCTGAAAGCATATAAGCGGGAAACCCCTCTTGAAAAAACTTAGCCTCAATGGAGAGGTGCAGATCGCAAATTTGCACCCCGGCCTCGTAGGAGCATATCACAAAGAACTCAGGCGAAAAGGGCATTCTGCTCTACCAACATCTTTTAGAGGCATTTTGGCATATATCTTAATTTTGAGGGATATAACTGTACGACACAAATTTTCCCTTTTTTGCTCTTTCCAAAGAGCTGACGGCATGAAGATATCATGGCCGCCTCCAGATAATTCAATCTTATTCTGTTTGTCTGATTGTGTCTGGATTCGAACTTGGGTCTTTATTTCAACAGTTCATCCGTGTGCCAACCGAGCTAAGCCCATTGGTAGTTGGGCGGCATCGGTATTCTGTTCTCCAGCTTGTTCGGCTCTTATGGCCTTGTGTTTCCCCAGGGTTCTGGATTGTATCAAAAAAAAAAAAAAAAAAAAAAGGGCGGAGGTCCGGTGTTGGCCATTCTGCTTCTGGACATTACTCCCAGAGCATGGTCCCACTAGCAACCGGATAGGATAGAAAAGAGTCTGTGTGGCAGTTGAGTGACCCAAATCCTTTTTTTTTTTTTTTTTTTTTTTTTTTTTTAACTTCTGGAGAGGGCTACACTTGGGAGAGTGATAAGAGCATCTCCCTCAAGTGGTCCCTCCGGTGAAGGCTCCGTCTATTGGTTGGGAGCTGCACCTGCTGGAAACCGGGGTCAGCGTCCCAATGCTGGAAACGGGTCCAGCCCAGTTGTTCCTGCTATGATCATTGCTGTATTCCTCCTTGCTCTACTTCCAGTACCACTGTTAACTTTGAAACCCTTCCCCTGAGGTCTGGGTCCGTTGTTCGTAGGGTCCAGCTTCCACTGTTATGGATTCCTATGTCCTCCTGTCTTTTATTGTGGGCTGTTTCCATCATAAAATCAGGTCCCTTTTGTCCCTTGGAGCTGCTAGTGATTCCCTTCCCTTCTTGGGGGGGCTACCTCTTGTTCATTCACCATCACCGATACCGCCAACGAGTGCAGCAACAGCGCAAGGATTAACAACAATCACGGCAACTGGTGATAGCAGCAGCAACAACAACAACAACAACAACAACAACAATAACAACAACAACAACAACAACAACAACAACAACAGCAACGGCAGCGGCGCTGGGGGTGGTGGTGGTGACGGCGATGGTGGCAGAGACAGAGGCAGCAGCAATAATAACAATAATAACAATCACGGCAGAGGCAGCAGCACGGTTGAGAGCGAGATTGGGGATGACATCAACAACGGCGATGAAGGCGATATCGATGACGTCGCGGGGGAGAGGCCGTACGCTGATGAGGAGGGGATTGGGATGGATAATGATAAGTGGTTTGTCACCCCCCCCTCCATCCCCCCCTTTAACCTCGTCGTCTGGTTGCGGACGGGAGTAGGATAATTGATGTTGATTGGTGTCGTTGAGTAAGGTTGATTGGTGTTGCCCGGCCCGCAATACCAATCAACTGTGGGGTGCTGAGAGGGGCTGGTTAGGATCTAGATTGCGGGTGGTCAATCCTTCCCTAACTAGGGGAAGTAATCAATGCCCTCGCTTACAGACTACATACAAAACATAGCGATTATATAGGCCTGATTGATGATTGATATAGATCATATACATCACATCACATCACACCATAGTTAGGGTTTCAGGTCTGGTTTTGGATACCGGCCAGAAAACATCACACACATCAGACACATATTACACATACAAGTTTGGGTTTCGTGGATTTGTATAGGGGTGCTGGGCCTGGTTTCCAGCGATACATTCTGATACATTCTGATACAGTCACATCATCGTATAGGGACACTGGACCCGATTTCCAGCAGACACATGTTCAAAATTGTACAGGGACGCTGGACCCGATTTCCAGCAGGTGTAGCTCCCCACTAATAGATGGAGCCTTCGACGCCGGGACCGACTTACCGGGGATGCTCTTATCACCTCGTTAAGTAGGTTTCCCGTATAACGAAGTTACTTTACAAAAAAAAAAAAAGAAAAAAAAAAAAAGGGCACCCCGTATTTGTTAAGCCAGCCCTGGTCAGCAGCCCCCCATTTGAATGCCTGACCTATTATGTCCCTTGACCCCTTGAACCCTATACCCTTTACTCGCTTCAAGCTCCTACTGTCGACCTTTGTGATCCTTGAAGCCAGTGGCTCAGGCTACATCCCCAGTAGCGACTGCAGCCCTTTTGCCCAGTGGGGCTCACATCTCCTCCTGGGCCGAAACCTGATGTAATTGCCCGCTGTTGTAGTTTAGCTGTCCAGTTGATCCCCATTTATCGCCACCGCCGGGCTGAAACCTGATGTAATTGCCCGCTGTTGTAGTTTAGCCATTGCTGTGCAGTACTCGTGATCCCATGGTCGGTATCTTACATGTATTTCCCAAAAAAGCTAGGTTACCAGTCGTCCGATGGCCGGATGTCTCGGCCGGACGTCTCCCCCAACCGTCCGGTAGGCGGGTTGTCCGGGATCCCGGACAACCACTGTTTGGCATTAAAAAAAAAGAAAAAAAAAGAAAAAGAAAAAAAATGACAGTGTTGCGCATGCCATAGAGACCCCCCATAAAAAATTTCAGAATTTTCTGAGCATTTGGTGATAGGGTGCTATTTGGGGTGGGAGGGGCGAGTACGAGGGGTTTTGGTGGGGATAGGAGGGGTATAGGTGGGGATTGGAAACTTTGAAGATTTTTGTCTTTTTTTCTACTGGCTCAAATGAGCCAAAATTTTGGTGGCATACACCTTATGCAAGGTAGAAGTCACATGATTTTTTTTTCTTTTTTCTTTTTTTTTCTTTTGTGCTAGGTCGGACAACCCCTGTCCGGTCCGACGTCCGACCAGACGTCCGGTCGGACATCCCGGACGGTCAGTGGGGTCCCGGACGTCCGGTAAAACAACCTAGCAAAAAAGTAAGGAGATCTTGGTTCCCGTCCTCCTCTCCTTAACACTGGGCATGCTGGTGCAAGGAAGCTTCCTGCCAAAATCTTTTCAGTCCGTTGGGGGTATGGCCAACCCCAAAAGAGAGTGGGGTCGGCCATAGGCCCACTGGATAGAAGATTTTCAGTATTTTGCTTGCTGTTGTAATTATCTCATTGGGCGGAGCCCTCCTTCAATCACGGAGTATATGGAGGCCGTCAGGATCACTGCTGACAGAAGTTGAGTTTATTCCAGAAAATGTGGCAGTTCCTTTCTGCACTGTTGTTGCAAGCACCACCATCAGATCATTTGTGATCTGATGGCTGGGAAGCACTCTGCCGTGATTTCAGGTGGGAGCTCTCTGTTTCTTTTTTCTTTTTGAAACAACGGCGGACGCGGCATGTTTTGAGTTCCTAAAGGCACCAAAAACAGGCCTTCGGCGACTGTGTCAGGGCCTGAGTTCG